CCCCTTTATGATAAAATATGAGTAATGGGTCACACCTCCCAGAGAGGATTTACCCCCACTGAATAAGTGACTGTAGGGTTAGAGCTTGGAGCTCTGCAGACAGATCTCAGGACAGGGGAGAAAGAAGGCAGCTGACAGGGGTCCTCTCCCACGTCCCTGAGGCCACCAGGCCACCAGCTAGAGATCCTGGGAGAAAATAAGATAAGCCTCCCCCGTTCTGTCTGCCACTGCGTCTTCCAGTGTCACCCCAATCCAACCCCTGTGCAGGCCCACCTGGACCTCGCAGCTGCCCACTGCCTCCCAGCCCCGTCCTGTTCCCTCCCACTTCCCTCGCCATTTCCAGGCAATCTAAAGAACTCCAGGCCTGTTCTAAGACCCAGAATGGCCTGTCCACCTGCCTCCTTGGCCAGGACACCCACAGACCCTGCAAACCCACCAACAGGCACAGCCTCCATTGGGAGTGCATGTAGGTGGGGGTCTTTGCAGCTCCTGGGCAGCCCACAGTGGCTAGTGGACACCGGAGAAGCAGCAGGCCTCTCAGGACGCACCCAGAGCATGGTCTGAGGGCAGCAGCCTGGGGGCTGGACACACATGTTGCCACACCACAAGCTCCTCACTGGCTTCTGTGTGTGACGGACAGCATGTGTGACTTCAGTAGTTTTTGTTAAATTAATAAACTAAGTTAAAAACAAGAGTCCCTTTTCACTCAGCTGATAATCACAGTCAAAGCAGCCCAGACCCAGAGGGCAGAGACTGCATGAGACAGCCCAGGAGGGCAGGGGAGGCGCTGGACCAGAGGCGCCCCCCCCCCCCAGTACAGAGCCCCACCTTCAGAGCCCCACCTTCAGAGCCCCACCTTCGGAGCCGGCAGGAAGGCCAGCCTGCCAGGGACACACCCTTCCCCCTGCCTCTCCTTGGTGGTGGGGGGCCCAAGGGAGTTCAGTTGTCCAAATGTCCCTCAGGTCCTTGACAGCTGCAGAGCAGCACCAGCCAGACCTGACCCGGGGCTGCCCAGGGCCCATGTAAACCACAGAATCCAGGAAATGGCCTCAATGTCAAAGTCCCAAGACTCAGCCACACACAAGGGCATGGGCTGCCTGAGGGCAGCCAGGCACACCTGCTCGGCCCTCTGGCTCCCCCTCCCCAGCATGGCAGTGACTGGGACTCAGGTTACCGGTGGCTGTGCTGGGTCAGGCCTTGAGCAGACAGCAGCGGCCTCCAGCTCTAGTGCTCGCAGTCCCCGAGGCCCAGCCCAGCGCAAGTGGGAAGTCCCCTCGGCAGGCAGCCACCACTCAGGCGGACCCAGAGAGACCCAGAGGCTGCTCCCAGGACCTCAGTGCTGTGTGGCAGCAGGGCAGGGGTGGGCGGAGTGACCCTTGACCTCTGCCCTGTCCTCAGAACCCTGGAGCTTCCAGAAACTTCTGCAGATCCCAGCAGACAGGTCTGTGCCCCTGTCCCACCTCATTTCCTCTTTTCCCCCCAAGCTAACTAGGGGACCCACTGGGTGTCTGGGACTCTGCCCCCACCCCTTCTCCAGTGACACTCCTCCGACTCCAGGCCCCATGAATCATAAGCCCTCCAGGGCGGTCTTAAGCACCTGACCTCCACAGGAAGGGGGAGGGCCCTGAGTCTGAAAGGTGCCCAGGTGGGACGGCAGGGTCGCTCTGGGACCCAGACCTTGACCCACAGGTTACGCACACTCGGGCAGGCACCTAACAGCAGGCCCAGAATGGGTGGAGAAGCCAGGGCACTCGCCAGACCACCGTCCACAACTCAGGCTGCTGGGGGCAGTCAGGGCCCATGCGTCCCTAGCTCAGCACGCAGACAGGTGGACAACACCACACCGGGGCACGAAGGCACGTCCCGGTCGCAGCCCCAGGATCCCTAAGGCCCTGCCCGCCTACGGGCCCCGCGGCCCACTGACCCGAAGTCCTGGTCCATGGACTTGAAGAAGAATTTGTAGGCGTGCACCGGCCGGTTGCTGAGCACGTTCTTGAAGTCGGCCAGCGTGACGCGCTCGGGCGCCACGGGCAGCTTGACCAGGTACGGCGTCTCCTCCTCGTCCATGTGATAGATGATCTTGGTCTCCGCCATGGCGCGGCGACGGCGGCGGGCGCGGGGCCTGCGCGGCGCTCAGGCCCGGCCCGGGGCTCGGACGCGGGCGCCT